CTTAATTACTTATTATAATCAAAAACATTATATAATTTATATATACAGTCGTAAAAGGAAATGGTTAATGAAAAAAAAGCATAACTATAATAACAGACGACCGTGAAAAACATGGGATAATTAATTGTTTTAAATACCGTCTTTATTAATTTTGAACCGTCTAGATATGCCTATTTCTGCTTTAAAAAAATGGTGGTAAGTGAAAGTTGTATTGTGCATCATTTTTATTTATCTTTTTCTCCCTTTAGCAATAAACTAGCTTAGTGTTGCCCAAATGCGAGACCGAGACGAGTGTTTGTCTTGGGCATGGTCTTGGTCTTGCGTAAGAATCTCGCAAAGTCTTGCAGTTACATAATAGATTATTACTATAGAGATATTAATGTAATTTTTAAGATAGGAGAAATCTAACTAAGCCCGAATGAAAAATTAGAGGAGTTAAATGCAAAAGTGTATTGGTTATAACAATTATTAACGTACACTAACTAAGATTGTCAAGTATTAGTAACTAATTTGCCTTAATTTTTGTTTAAAAATCTTTTTTTTTTTTTTACCAGTCCTGGTCTTGGTCTTGCAACAGTTAGGTAGCTTTGGTCTTGGTCTTGCAAAGTGCAAGACCAAGACCGATTTTGGTCCATGTAAATGTCCATTTACGATCATACTTTTTTTATATAAACCTAATGAAGTCTATCTGTTTAAGTGAAAAGTATGAATGAATAGTCTATTTTATTACTGAATAGTCTGAAAAGTATGAATGAATAGTATGAATGGTCCATTTAATTAACTGAATAGTATGAAAAGTATGAATGAATAGTCCATCTAATTAACTCAATAGCATCATTCCTTTCCGATCAGACTGAAGCAGTGCTATTCAAAATCACCCCTTATCTTCTTCCTTCCCCCTCCCTTTTCGATTTTTATTTCCAATGATCTTCTTAATCCAATCCGACTCTGCTCATTCAATCCACCATCTGTATGCTGACCACTTCCGAATCTATTCATCCTTCCCTCCTCCTGAATTATTTGCCAATATTCAAGAAGGCTTAGACAGGATCAGTGACTGAGCAGCAAGCCTGAATAAATTAAGGTTAAAACCGATGAAAACTCAGGTCATTGTTGAAGGTTACAATTCCTTCCTTACATTAGACGCCACCTTTTCTCACTTATTCGTGAACGATCATATCTCTTCCAGCTTCTGTGTCAAGAAGAAAACTTCTCTCTTGGAAACCCTATGTTTTTCATGAAGACCAATAGCTACCCTTAAGTTATTTCATCGTTCCCTTCATCTCCTTGGACTCCAGTTTATGTATACTTTATTGTAACACTTAATGTCAGCTACTACATGTTTAAATAATTCTCTTTACTTATGGGTCACTCTATAAAAATTTTCTAGAAATAAATATTTAGGTAAATATATGAACTAGTTTTCGCCCAATGACCGAAATTCGATAATCATTCAAAATATGAGGAAAACATATAGGTGCAGATATGTTTATGCTTATACTATTAGAACTATGTAATCCTTAATATAATAGATTTTTTACTTTTCTACCTATACTAGGTAAGGAAAGTATTGCAATCGGGTCAAATTTCCGATATGCGGTTTTCGACGGATCTATACGTTTCACTGAGTCCGAAAAACACATTTTTAGCCATTGGTCTGTCTGTCTGTCCCAAGATTTTCTCGGGAACTACTGAACCGATTTTGATGCTCCTTTTTTTATTTTGTTGAGTTTTGACTACTGATGCCTGTGACAGAAATTCGGTGCTCCATACGCAATAGCTTAAATGAAAATCATGTTTTTCTATAGACTGCAGCGCCAAAACGGCTCTAACGATTTTGATGAAACTTTCCTATAATGTTCTAATCATTTTCCTTTAAATTTTCGTATATAGTCTAAATTCCCGAAAAAATTCTGTCAGCATCACACAATCTTCACTATTTCCTCTACTTTTAACAGAAATTATTGTTTGACAATACTAATCTATGCCAAAAAGTTTTTGATCAGCAATATTAGTGAGTATTGAAATGTTTACACTGATCTACCTTCAGCCGGTTTACATTGCTTTAGTTTATCAAAGAAATCGTACTCAAATCTTTTGTTTGATCAATTTACAGGAAAATGTATCTAGTTCAATTATTTTTGTTTCTTCATGAACATATGTAAAGATATAAAAACTTTTATGAAATAGGTAGGAAAGTCGTGTGAGTGGACACACCAGATATTTTATGATCAATATTGTTATTCTTAAAAGATTGTATAATATATTATACTACTTATCATTTCAATCTATTACGATTGTTTGTATTATAAACATTGTTTTGCTAACTATTGTATACTTTCAATCAAACTATGCTATTTTTATATTGATTGGCAACTCTTACTTATGTTCATTTCATTACTAGCTAATAGTCACAATTTTGTTAAATATAAGAAACAACGAAAATGTGTACATTTTGAATAATTTAGTCTGCAAATTATTTGCATTCTACAAACAGAAATGTTACCCCTCTCTCCCCTCTGACTATGTTTACCTACCGTTTGCTATCTTAAAAGCACATCTGGAAAATCCTCCACCGAACCTTTTACTTACGTACCAAAGTACTTGAATACCTTCAGTGCTCAGAGAAGGTTAGAAAGAGCAAATATTATAATTTTTATATATTGATACATTATTTTTAGTTTGTGTAACTTTTTATACATTTCATTTGTCTATTTCATAATCATCAATGACTATTTTTATTAAATATTAACATTATCTGTCGTATAATATTATATTCTCTGATTGTATTAAACAATTTTCAGCCCTCATGACATGTTAGGGTTGAAACGTCGACACCAAAAAAACAAAACATTATAATGACTGTGTCGTGAATATTTATCACCCAGGAAAACATTTAATTAAATTCAATAAAAAAAGAGTAAATCACGATTAAAAATCCTCATCTATTAATTTCTTCAAATAATATATAATATAATTTTGAGAAATGAAATGAAAAATAATTTTATTGTGGGACTGAAGTCCCCTAGAATAATGGTAGAGTTCATGTAAGTATTATACAAATATATACAAAAAATACCTAGGAAATTGTAAGCACATATATATGTACACACAAAGATACTAAAAAAATACAAATATATATAAAAAAAATACAAAGGAAAATATAAATATCAACAAAACATATCAATGACAAACACAGATATATACAATAAATACTGAGATATAAAAACATTAATAAATAAAAATAAAATGACTTCTATCAATTAACTGCTGGTGACCAACGTAATTATATAACCCAGAAATTTTTACAAGCTTGCGGAAGTTTGAATTTGTAGTAGGTGGTGGAATAGGAGTTGTTTGAAGGAGTTTATGGACGTGGTTTGACGTATGGAGATGGGTAAGGAGTTCCATAAGGAGGTAGCACGAATGACGAAGGATTTACTGAAGGAAGTGGTTTTATGGGAGGGGATATATAAATCTATAGGTTGAGATCTGGTGTTGAGAGAGTGGATAGAGGAGCGTAAAGTAAGGAGTTCTAAGATGTAGGGAGGGTTTTTGCTTCTGAGGACTTGAAAAAGAAAAACACCAAGAAGGAATTGCCGTCGGGAAGTAGGATATAGCCACTTCAACTCGGTGTACCAACAAGAAATATGGGAATCCCAAATATGAATCTTATAAAGAAATTCATAATTTTCTTCAGTCTCGCCTCCAGTCCTGTGGACATCCCTTCGTACACCACTATAATAATAATAATAATAATAATAATAGTCTCGATTACTTCAATAAATGTAATATTTTCGATTTATAAAAACCAAAATAAAGGAAATCCTATTTTCAAAAGAAAAAGTACTAAATGTTTAAAACGAGCACCAAAAAGTCCGATTTCGATAAATGTTTTATTTTATTTTGAAGGGAATTCAGGAAGCTTTCAAGTAAATATGAGTATTTACTGTATTTATTAATTTTCTGTATTTATCGTAAAAATGTACGCAGCTTCGGGAAAGTATTTTATAACACAAAATATAAAGGTTTCAAGAGGAAGACTTATGAGAAGATTCATTAAAATCGTTGCTGCCGTTTTGGCGCTAAAGTCTAAAGCGAATTACGTTTTTCGGCCGCCATTTGGGAAAAAAAGGTCCAACAATATGGAAATGTATATAAAAACATTCCTGAACCTGATTGCGACCTACTATCAACATTTCAAAGAAATCAATGAAGAACTTTCGGAGATCAGCTGTTTAGAACAAACTAAAATTAATATTTTTATTTATATACACTGTTTCATAGTTTTCATTTATTGATAACACTTAAGCTCGTTAATAGCTATTAAACAAAAAACAAAGGTTGAATAATATAGGAGAATAAGAGGCTGAACCGTTTTGGGTTTTCCATTAGTAATGATATTAATGGCTGTATTTAGAGATTAGTATGTTTTAATTATAAGGATGGTAATAAGGATTTTCACACTTGTTTTATTTAATATTAAATAACAAGCTAAATTAAACAAATCTAGATTAAAAAAAAAAAAACTACGGTGTGTGCTTTAGACCACACGATAGAAGTAAAGATATCAACAAGGTGACATTAATATGAAATATAAATTATAAATAATAGCTCATTATAAAGAGAATGAAATGCTGAAAAATTCCCTCGCTTACAGTATTCAGGTTCGATTTTTAGTTTCTGAGATATTTTGTCAATGCGCAAAAACACTTCAATTATTCAACTCTAACCGACTTTATTCGAGCATTACACATCGGAAATCTTGACGGCTCAATCTAATTTATCTCCACAAAAAAGAACTGGAGGAATGGAAAGTGGAACTGCTAGGAAATTTAGGAAATTATACTACCTGAAACCATCATAGATACATCAGGTAGGTCTGGACAAGAAATAGCAAACGGGATTGCTAAAGCGAATAGGCAACAAGTATTTGTATGTCCTTTTATTAATTAATATATATTATATTGTGTGTAATAACAGTTGAATTATCATTGCAGGCCATCAGTGGGTGATGGAGAACTTGGACATAGTTCCTACGACCGCATGGTCCATCGACCCGTTCGGATGCAGTTCCGTGATGGCGTACCTCCTGGCAGAGTCCGGGATCGAAGGACTGGTCATCCAGAGGATCCACTACTCCTGGAAGAGGTTCTTCTCCGAGGAAGGCGACCTGGACCTCCTCTGGGAACAGGACTTCGAGGCGCCGCACATGAAGCTGAGGGTCCAACAGAACCCTGGGTACACGTTGACGGATAGCTGCGGTCCGGCCACAGGGCTCTGTCCGGACTACGACTTCAACTTCGAATTAAGAGATTCCGAGCACATAACCTTTGCCAATGTACACAGGAAAGCTGAGGTAAAGTAAGTTATCCCGTAACGGATAAAACCTTCGTAATTCTTAAGGTTTATACCAAAGTGTGACTACAAGAATGTAAATTCAAGAGTGATTTGGGTACTTGGGAAACTATAAGGATGGATATTATGTCAAATATTGAGGGACACGTTCATTGTATAACTGTAAAATGGCTAAAGCTCTCTATGAATGCCACAGCTCGACAGCAATTAGTTGCCATTCCGAGAAAAAACTCACGTGGTACTCTTTTCATCAAATTATTAACATCTGCCTGAAACTTCGTAAATAGCTTCATCTCATCGTAAAAACTCCTAAATACTCATTGGCGTTCCACTTGAATCGTAAGATAATTTACTCACAAAAACCGAGTAAAAAAACCTACAAAAATATTGGACCGTTCGGCGTGAGTCACACCCCCAACATTTCAAAATAACTAGGTTATATACGCCAAACGGTCCTATATTGTTGTAGGCCACCTTTTTTCTCGATTTGGTGATCAAATTATGGTACGATCCAAATGGAACGCAATTGGGTATTTACTAGGTCTTATTACCTGATTAAATAGACAAAGTTTGCCGATCTCCAGATTGAAAGCGTCCAAATTACAAGAGTTTTCATAATTAAAATATTTATAGGTGTAATAAATAAAATATATGCTATTCAAAAAGTTTCAGGCGGATGTTAATAATTTGATAAAAAGTGGTCTGTACCACGGACTATTTGTTTTTCCCAAACTTGGATGGAATCACGGACGGATCTACGAGAGATATTTTTTAAATATTTTTTTCCATAAAACATGGTTATATTTTACTATTTTGGGGGGGAGGAGTGTGGTTCAGCCTCATAGTTCTCCCCTCCCCCCCAAAATAGTAAAATATAACCATGTTTTATAGAAAAAAATATAAAAACATTATCTCTTAAAGTATTATTGTTCGTGTAATTACATTTAAAAGGACTTTAGGAATCACTTTAACACCATTTCATATAGGTAGTTAGTTTCTTCCTTTTTTTCCGAAGTAATTATCGTTATTTTTATGAAAAAAAAAGCTTTCGGGCTGAAGCTCCCCCCCCCAAAAAAAAAATTAAATCCTGGATCCGCTAGTGGATGGAATAATCTATAAAACCGTTTCTTTCGAGGCTCGAGGAAGTGTGTATCCTTTTGTGGAGGAGGAAGGAGTTCCCCACGATCATGTTATTTTCCACTCAGAAATCGATAAGGCCATTCTCACATCCTCTTCCCACCATGAAGTCCAAGTAAGCAACAGTTGGCTCGCAGCCCATTCATGCATTAAAGTCCCCACTCAGCATCGCGAATCGTCCATTAACCTTGATTTTGTTGAGTGAAATTTGCAAGTTCGGGTAGAAACCTCCATTCATGATTATTGCATCCTGTGTTAATGCATAGAGTAACTTTCAAGATGGCCAACAAAAGTCTACAATTATTTTTTATGAGAAAGCCTCCTTATCTTGCAGTCAAGACTATGTCCACTCCTTCTTTTCCGTAGATTCTTTAACGCTTCAAATCCAGGATAAATAAGGACAACGTAACCAATCTCTATCTTCAGTTCATTGCTTCCTTGTCCCACTAATCTCCACCTTATAAGCCTTCATTTCTTTCACTAGTTCGACTTTTTTCCTTGTCCAGTTCTTAATGTTCCAGGATCTAGGTCGTATATCCTTATGAGCACGAGGTCGTTTTCTTGATATATGTCTACATCCGAGGCTAGTATGTTGGCTCTGAATACACTGCACTACCATGCGGGTGATTATCCCGACGATGGGAACCCAAGGATACGGGATAGCTAATCTCTCGAATATTTATTACTCCTAATAGGAAAAGGTAGTTAGTTTGTAAAAGGTCCTTTTGTCTAAATACAGTTATAATATATTAATAGCTAAAATGTATTGTAATTGCTGGTAATTTTATTGTTTAATCACTATTTTATAAAATTGTGTTCTATATATATTTTTTTTTCATCATTGGAGGGTATAAATATGAGCAGAATAAAGTCTCTAAACGTCAAAATATAATTTAAATATCGACTAAATCTGAAGGTTCTTAGAATATATATATATATATATATATATATAAGATAAAGACCGGAGACTGGCGGTATCAGCCTTAATACTATCTGGTAATGTAAATAAACAGGCTAAGTGTATATAAGGAGGCTTATTGTGTTCTATATATTTTTTTTTCATCATTGGAGGGTATAAATATAAGCACAATAAAGTCTCTAAATGTCAAAATATAGTTTATATATCGACTAAATCTGAAGGTTCTTAGAATATATATATATATATATATATATATAAGATAAAGACCGGAGACTGGCGGTATCAGCCTTAATACTATCTGGTAATGTAAATAAACAGGCTAAGTGTATATAAGGAGGCTTATGGAACGAATAAAGCAGTGTTATTTCAGAAGTCGTGTATGTTACATCTTTTCCCTTTTCCTTCTTTTTTTTTATTTCTTAAGTCCGACGACGCTTAACTGGTGCCGAAACCCGGGACAACGTCAGGGAAGTAATTTTTTTTTAAGTAGATATTTTTTTTTTTGGTGTTTAAGGAAAAGGTGAAATGCCGACAGAAGGATTGATTAGACCGGGAGTACTAAGCGTACCGGAAATTCCTCAACCTCAGGATATTCCACAGATCAATCAGGTACCCCAGATCGCGCCTCAGGTACCTCAGATACCTCAAGTCCCTCAGGTAGCACAGATCCCTCAGATCCAGGAGATCCCTCCATTACCAAGGGACACGTTGGCAGAAGCACACGCCAATGCCTTGGAATGGATGAAAATAAGAGCAACAACCACGCAGGACTTACGGAGGGCCATTGCGGACCTAGAACGATTCGGAGGCGAGGTAGGCGAGCTCAACCATTTCTTGAAAGGCGGAGATCGTCTTATGTCAAGAATCGAGGTGAAGGTGGCGGAGGACCTGGTGAACCTAGGGGACGCGGAAGAACTAAAAGCAGCTCTTGTGTGCCGAGTAAGGAGGAACGTCCTGAACCAGATCCAAGCGGACGAGGAGACTCCGTGGCCGGTGATTAAGGAGCGGCTGAAGAAGGCTTTTGGAGGAGGTAGGTGGACACCGGAAGAGGACATATTCCAAATGTTTAGGGAGCGGCGGGCCCAACGACAGTCAAGGGGGCAATATGCGGGAGTACTCGTGGCGAAGTACAATCGCATAACCGAGAAGATGCGGGAAACAATGAGCGTGGGAGAGGTCGAAGCCAGGATGGAGTTTCTGTCGACAATATTGAAAGTCCAGCTGGCTAAAGAAACGGGGAAGAGGGACGGACTGCCCAGAGAGCGATCGTTCCTCGAATGCGCCCAGGAGATGATCGACCTAAGTGCCAGAGAGGAAGAGACACGGATGGATGTGGAAGAACCGGGTTGGACCCGAGTGACGGATAGACGACCATGGACAGCCCCGACAGGTTGGAAGAAGAGGGACGCAAGGCAGCCGAGTGGAGAAAAAGCCCCGACGAGGGAAAGAAGATCGGGACAGTCGTCGAGGCCGAGGAATGGGCCCCGGAGGGAAGAGAGAAAATGTCACGGGTGTGGGAAGCCGGGACATTTAGTAGCGCAATGTCCGCGCACCAGATGCTTCGAGTGCGGGACGGAAGGGCACATAGCAAGGCAGTGCCCATACATATTTCACAGGAGGGAGAGACCTCAGGACGAACCCATGGAGGTGAATGTGCAGCGGACGAAAAGCCGAGCCAGGGTACATCAGCGGGACGGATCTTCGGAGGAGGCATCCGAGGAGTCAGGAGCGTCGGGAACGGAGACGGACGAACCAGGCAGCAGCGGAGGTGAAGGAGGTAGGCGCAGCCAACGGAGTGAGCAGCGACGAGCGGCGGCAGAAAGGAGGAAGCGGGACGACATCTGAGGAGTGTGTCGGCAGAGAGGCGACCGCACAGCAATATGCAACAACATCCGAGGTAAGCCATGCTGGTTGCCAATTATCGAAGTAGACGGGGGAGTAAAGTGTCTTGTGGACACGGGTAGCTCGAGCACTATTATGACTCGAAGGGCGTTAGGAAAAGGGTGCGGGAGCGAGAGGGTACTCCGGATACAGAAATGTGACTGCCAGCTGATCACTCTGGGTGGTCCCTGTAGTGTAGAGGGTGAGGCGACAATTGGGCTTGATCGGTGGACAGGGAAAGAGGGTGAGCTAACGGTGCATGTGGTGGAGAACATGACTCGGGAATACCAAGTCATAGTAGGGTGCGATTTGTTAGGTCAGGTAGGGGCGAGCATTAGAAATCGTAGAGGAGTCTGGAGCGTTAGGTTGGGAAAGAGGAAGTTCGGATGTATAGGGGTCGCGAGAGAAAGAAGGGTGCGGATAGGAGCGGTGGACAGAGTGGAGGACTGGAGGAAGTTGCTACAAGAGGAGTTTAGGGATATCTTCTTCAGGGAAGGTGAGGTATTAGGGGTAACAGGGAGGACGGTGCACGAAATCCCACTGAAACAGGAGAGGGTAACTTACGTGAAAGAGAGAAGATACCCGCAGGCGTTGAGACAGCATATTCGGGAGGAGCTAGATAGTCTAAAAGAACAGGGAATCATAGTTGATAGCACCTCACCATTCAATAGTCCCCTGTGGGCGGTGAAAAAGAAGGCAGCGCCGGGGGATAATAAGGAAAAATACAGGGTGGTAGTAGACTATCGTAAATTGAACGATAACACGGTAGACGAGAAGTACCCGATCCCGAGATTCGAGGATATACTCGATAGGTTGAGTGGGGCCGTGGTCTTTAGCACGCTGGACCTCAAGGCGGGATACCACCAAATACGGATGCACCCGGAAGACCAACACAAAACAGCGTTCACATTTGAAAGGGGGCATTATGAATTCACCAGAATGCCGTTTGGTCTGAAGAATGCGCCCATAACATTTCAGCGTCTGATGGACGAATTTTTGAGGGGCATCGATGACTCGGTATGCCAGGTATACATGGATGACCTGCTGATTTTTAGCAGAACGGA